TTGCCCCGTCCAACGCATTTCTTGGATGGCGGTGATGTCAGCTTTTGTCCTTACGAGGACATCAACCAGCCGGGCAGAGGCACCTTCCCCATTAAGGGTCCGGACATTCCAGGTGCATGCCCTCAAATCGTAGTCCTTTAAACGATTGTTCGAGCTGTTGTGTATTGTATCTGTGGCTGTTGGTTTTCTGTATATTTCGAATTCTATCTTGCTTGTGGTATTGTTTATTTTAATTGTCAAATCCAGATAGTTAATCTTTCTTTCTTCTTCCGTTTCCATAGTGAATTTAATATTTTGATGTTGTTTGTTGAGATAGTCGAGGATCTGCTTCTCTTTGTTTCCCCCTATTAGCCATATTACATCATTGACATATATCGCATATATTACTCCTAGGTTGGTTGCTAGGTTTTCCATATATTTGTCCTTTAGTGTTTGTATGAATACCTCCATGTGTATTGCTGACGTCGGATTGCCCATTCCTAGCCCGTTCGTCTGTTTATATATCTTATTATTGAACAGGAAATAGTTCTGTTTAGTGTAACCTTCACACCTCTTTTCATTTTTCCAATCAGTATTTTGTGTACGGTGTTTATGGTTTCTATTGTTGGTATCGACGGGTAAATCCCTTGATGTCGGATGATACGAATTTAGTGTTTTTGTTGATCTGCAAAGAGTTCATCTTTTCGATTATTTCTGCTGTATTCGTAATAGTATATTTATTACGTAACTCCAGGTTATCCTTCAGCAGCGTCTTTAGGTGCCGGGAGCAGACTTGTGGTTAATGATAGGTTTCATCGGAGTGCCTGGTTTGTGTATCTTCGGCAACTCAATCAGCGGAGGGGCACTCGGGTTCATAGGTGTTAGTCTATATGCTAGATTATCCTTTATTATGGTTGTGCTTCTCTTTAAGGTATTTTTTATTACTGCTTGGTATTCTTCAGTGGGATCACTTCCCAATTTATTGCACCCTTTTCAGTATAAGTTTTTCAGTTTTCTCTATGTAATCCCTTTTATCAATAAATACGGTGGTTATGCCTTTGTCCGCTTTTGTGGTTATAACATTTTTTGCCTTAAACTTTTCTTTGAGCCCTTTTATTGTTTGGTTTTCGTCCTGCTTTGTAGTTTTTTTGGCCTTTATGTCTGTTGTAAGTTTAAGATCTTCTTTATTAATGATCCATGTACTCCACCTAGTAGCGAGTAAGTACATATATTGGAAAGAGTATTAGTATACATACATATTGGAATACAGAGTATATTGAGGTAAATATTAGTGTTGCATAACTGAATGTACATTGAGTGTTGTAAAACAGGTATAGTAAAATATAGAATATGGAATGGAATAAAATCTATTTACACAACAATGTCTTTTTCTATTATGGGCCGACATATGTATGTGTCTGGCGTGATCCTGTTCTCCAGATGGAAGCCGTGATATAATAACTTCAGTATCCACGATGATTTGTTCAAGTTCCCTCTTTCGGTTGTACTTGCAATGTTGTGTTTGAGGCCTTTCTTTAATAGTTCTGTTTCTTGCTCGTTGATGTAAACTAGAGGGCTGCATGAATCCATTCAAAACGGCAAATGAATCATTCATATTGAAATTAAATGAATGTGATTGGGTTTGAATTTTATTGAATTTAAATGAATAGCTGTGCTGATATCGAGCCCTAACCGCCAAAATAACGTAAGCGCCATTTTTTTCAAAATTTTCTTTTCGATGCAGAAATACATCTAGATGCCCGAGGAATATTTCTGCATCAAAAATAAAATTTTGAAAAAATGTCGCTTACGTTATTTTGGCGGTTAAGGCTCGATATGATTGCCGACATTACAATATTCAAACGATGTGAAAACAAATTGAGTGAATATGATGGAAACTTTTTTTTATAAATCTAAATACCTACATTTCCTTGTATTTATTGAACTTTGCGTATACATATTTTGCACTTGAATGCGCCATAAAAGAGAGGCATTAGATAATAATATAATTGGTTTCAACATATAGTATATTTATATTTCTATATTTGAATGCAGAAACCTTATTTTATTTACATTGCCTGAGTTAAGAGCAATAGTACAACGTTTTTCGGTTATTAAATTTCTTGCATCTTAAAAGACATTTCAGAAGCCGCGCTACTTGCGGGTATACAGAAAATTTTGCAGATACCACCAGTTAAAACAGTCGAAGTCAGCAGTGAACGTAACATTTAGGTTTGAATTTCCTGATCTACTTGAGCCATGGCGTTGCTTTCATGATTGATTTCAATAACATCTGCGAACGTATTATCTTCCAAAATGTCGTTGCTTTGTATATTTCCATCAGATCCATGTCCAGTAAAGCTAGTCATTATTTCCTTACAACTTCTGATAACTTGTAGTTTTTCATTCGAAGAAAATTGAAGTAGTTTATTTGTTGGCAGAAACAAAAAATAGGCAATTTTGTGGTATTTGGTTAAATGTAGAAAAACTGTTGCCAAAATTTCATTGAGGAGAACCGATTTTACTTGAGTTATAAATTCGCTATCATTTTCACCAGCAAAACAAAACTTTTTTAACTTGCTTACATATGGAATATCGTTTGAGGGAGGGGCATAAGCTTATCGACGTTCACATTGGAACCTAGGTTGCCGCTATGTAAATTAAAAATTTTGCAAATCCTTTTAGCCAAGAACGTCAATTATCTTAAAAGAGCGACAGTTTTTGACAGCCCATCGCGTAATATGAGTAATACCCTCTTATTTCGTCTCATTACTTACTTCTATTTGGCCAACATTATTCACACTATGGGCATTTATAATATAGCATTTATGTCTTACAATATTTGACGTGCTCCCCGTAAATTTGTAAATGCTGCACCATCTTTTACGTGCTGCAATATCGGGCACCTCCTCGCCAGAGTTATTTTTAACATTGGAAAATATATCCCAAACCTTACTACGACCTCTTTTTTGACTCAGAGTGTACTCTCCACTGTGGAGCTTCTCCTTGATGCCGGCACTTTGCAATATTGCGCCTGCGGAGTTCTGTTATTATAAACATATACCATTATCATTATTAAATGGACCGAAATGTAGATTCACTATACATAAATACGTACATCCTATCAAGCGTACTTACGCTTTCCTTTGCCCTTTCCATTATTTTTTTTTCGTTTTCGATGCTAAACACAAAATATCACATAAATTGTAATAAATTTGAATATGGATGAATTTACTGTTTTTTATTAATTCATTTATATATTTCTATATGAAGTTAGAAAATTTAAAACGCAATGAATATTCTAACATACAAAATTCAAAACGCTGGGTATTTTGAACTTGAAATAGAATAGACCATTCTAATGTACTCTTTTTGGCTTGAAATAAGAATCAACTCATGCAGAGGTCTAATGTAAACCTCCCTCAAGTTTACCAATCTGGAATGGAATTTCTGTTGTTGTTGCTTTGCTTCGTCCTCAAGTTACTGAGTTTCTTGTTCAACCTTTCATACTTCTTCATGAGTTTTTTTTATCGGCTTCTATTTTCTCTATTACTTCTGTTGTGGTCCAACAGAATTAAAAAATGTTCAAATTGTTAAGAAAATCCAGTTTATTTAATTCTATATAAATAGTAGCGTGCTTTCTAGTAAAGTACGTAAAAAGGAAGGTGAAGTAAAAAAAAAAATTAAGTCAAATAAGTATATGGTGATCCGATGTGAGTGCTGCCACACTAACAGAAGTTAAGTGAGAACATGGTTGCATTCAATAGGTCTGCAATATCCGCAACATCTCTCCTTGTTAAGAAACGTCATAGTCACTCATCCACGTCGGCGTCTTCTTTATTCGGCCCGGTCTCGCTTCGCTTGCCGGTTGCATCTCCAGCGCCTTTCGGGTAGAAAATCTATCTGGACCAGCTGGATCCTCTACTGCGACCCTCTCGGGATCGTCCTGTAACTGTACTGGAACCCCAAGTCGGGCATGCTTTTCTGACGATTCTGGAGGTTGACGTGTGTCGCCATTATCTACGGCTTGTTGACGGTGCCATGGTGCTTGGTAGAGATCGAAACTGTCACATAAGAACCTTTTAACATCCGTTGACGGTGATCCCTTGTCAGCAAGTCGTATTTTCAACTGATTTATATGCGCTCGAATTATTCTTTGATTTACAGAGATTAAAACGTTGTAGTTTACGTCGCCAAGTTTCTCGATAATGGTGCCTGGTGCCCAACGCTTTTTGTTAACATAAACCAAATCCCCTGCTGCCAGGTGTCTTGGCTTCGCGCCGGGCTTCGTATTAAATCGTTGCTCTTGCTTTGCGTTGCTTTGCGGTTGACGCTGCAACTCCGGTGGGTTTAACAAGTTCGACGAAGTTTTAATTTTTCTTTTTAAGAATGCTTCTGCTGGTGTTTCACCGTTCGGTACATTCGGGGTTGGAGTGGACCTGTACGCTTGTAGAAAAGTTTGTAAGTTCTCTACACTCGTTCCCTCGCTTTTAAGCTTAGTTAGCGTTCTCTTTAGAGTATCCACGAACCGTTCTGCCTGTCCGTTGGATTGTGGGTGACAAGGGGCTGTTCTGACGTGATTCACTCCTCGCATCTTCAAAAATTGTTTGAATTGTGCGCTCACAAATTGTGTTCCATTCAGATACGACCATTCCCATACCTTGAAAATGTCTCATCCAATTTTTCTATAATCACTGATGAGGTTATGCTAGGGGTTTGAAAAATCTCTGGCCATTTATCGTAGGCATCAATTATCACGAAGTAGTAGTTTCCATTACAGGGTCCAGCGATATCTACGTGCAACCGCTCCATAGGCCTTGTTGCTAGCGGCCATGAGTGAAGTGTAGATTTTATAGGCGATTTCGCTACCATCGCATATGGTTGACAATATCGTACGAACGACACGAATCATTCGTCTATGCCAGGTCAAAAAACATGCCCTCTTGCTATAGATTTCATTCTCTCCTTTCCAGGGTGTCCCCGATGTAATTGGCATAAAACGCGTTTTCGCGGACACTGGGATAATAATCCGCTCTCCGAAAAGTAGACATCCTCTCACTGCACTCAAAGAATCTTTGCGTCTATGATAAGGAAGTAGCTCGTACGGCACATTCGCCATCCAGACTTCAATGCTTTCAGAACTGCTTATAGTTGCTTACATTTGCTTGTAGCTTTTAGTACCATACTAAACGTGACTGGAAGTTTCCTGATTTGGTCGTTGACTTCGGCCAATACCTCTTGTTTTAGTTGCGTGCATGCTATGACCATATCTTCATGCTCATTTTTATCCATCAGCCTGGATAGAGTATCCACACACCCAAAATTTTTCGTATTGACGTACTGTAATTCATAATTATACCGCATGAGGGTAAGAGCCCACCCTGTAGTCTATTTGCAGTATGTGCGGGAATACCCTTTTTACTACCAAAGATGGATAGTAATGGCTTGTGATCTGTCCATAATATAAATCTTCGTCCGAAAATATATCGATGAAACTTTTTTACTGCAAATATCAACGCTAGCGCCTTCTCAATCTGAGAATGTTTCTGCTCGGTTGAATGTCGGTCGATGCATCTGCTGCCACTTTTATGGGAAGATCCGGATTATAATGCGTGAGCAGTAAGTCGTACTGCAAAATGCTTTTGAACTTCTCGAAAGCTTGTTGACATTGCGATGTCCATACAAAGTTTACATTATCATGAAGTAGTTCGTTCAGAGGTGCCCTCAGACTGCTCATGCTGCGAACGAATTTCCCGTAATAATTTACGCTGCCCAAAAATGCTCGTAGTTCTGAAATGTTTGTAGGTGGTGGCATCTTCAGTATTGCGCTGATTTCATCTGCATCTGGACGTAGTCCACTCTGTGAAACAATACTTCCTAAATATTTAACCTCCGCAACAAAAAATTTACATGTTTCCAACTTTACGTGAAAGTTGTACTCTCTTAGTCTTTGCAAGACCTTGAATAAGTTTTGTAGATAGGAAAACCATGTAGAGCCCCCAACGATTATATCATCTATATATGCTGCAGTAGCATCTATGTTCGCTAACATAGTATCCATTATTTGCTGGAAAGCACCTGGTGCGCTTTTGACCCCTGGTGCAAGTCGGCTAAATGCGAATAAACCCTAATGCGTACTTATAGTTAGCAACTTTGCTGCCTCCGGCGTGACTGCCGTCTGTAAATATGCATCTGCCAAATCTATATGCGAAAAACAATGACTGTTGGCAATTTTAGCATATATATCTTCCGCCGTAGGTAGTGGATGCTGATGTGGTTGTAGTGCTGAATTTAACCCAGATGAGTAGTCACCACAGATTTGTACTCCGCCTGTTACTTTTCTAACAGCTACAATCGGCGCTGCCCAGTCGGAGAATTCTACTGGTGTTATGATTCCAAGGTTCTCCAGTCTATCCAATTCTGCCTCTATTAGAGCTTGTAAAGCGTACGCCATTGGTCGTTTCGCCCGAAAAATCGGTTGTACATTTGGTTTCAAATGTAGCTGAACAACTGCCTTGCTGCATTTGGCCGGAACAGCGCTAAAAACATCTGCATATCTTCGGTTAATGTCCGTTATAGCTGCAGCTTCAATGGCGGGTATTGATTGCTTGATTTGACAACATACACTACTAAGCGGATGGCCCCATACACCAAAAGTGTCAAGAGCATCTGTACCTAGAACATTCAAAATAATCAAACTCTGCTACAAGAATCTTTATTGGTTTCACTTCTCCGTTAAGCTGAAGTACACATGGGAACTCCGCCTTGAAGCGAATTTTATTCCTCGATGCACTCGTGGCGTGACTGTTAGTTAACTTGACTCCTGGACTTCCCCATTTTCCCCCAATTCTCTTTGCCAATTATCGTCACATCGGAAGCGGTATCAACCTGTAGCTTGAAGATTTTCCCTTCCCCGCCAGCTACTGCTGACGTTATCGGTTTGACATATTTTCGGCGTGCGGCGAAATATACGCAATTTACCTGCACTGCGTTGATTTTCGGTCGCTGTTGGGTTGGTGTTCTACCGCTCTGGGATACTCCTTTTGCGGTTTTTTTCTCTGAGCTTTGCAATAACCCTGTTGTTGTTGTTGTAGCAGCATACAAATTCCCCAAAGACTTTTTGGGGAGTGTTGCTGGAGTGACAGTCCTTGGCCAGATATAAATCTGGGTCGTTCCGGTTACGTAGACCCGACTGTCGTGGGAACGTTTGCAATAACCCTCTTTATGACCTGTTCGACTTTTCGAGATTTTGAAACTTTATTCTGCTTCAATTTTGCACCCGATTCAAACTTCTTATTTCTGGTAGTCTGAGTTTAATTGGCATTTACGCTTTTATTTGGCTGTTCGACCATCACCGTGTCTTTTTTTCAGATTTAGCAAACGGCCTGCCGCACAGTGTATTATTTCCATATTTTAGAAAATATTAATTACATTATTTTATGTCGCCAAATTTCAAAACAACGTCAAAAATGTTTTTAGAAATGCCTGCTAAGGACGAAACAATAACAATTACAAAGTTTAAACCAAAGTGTACGGCGGGACGGGATTCGATTTGGAAGATTACCGAGCGCAGTATTATTTAAAATTGTATATTTGAAACTGAATCTCAATGTTTAATTTGTCGGTGTTATGTGATTTATGCAACAATTGCTAAAATACTATTTTGGCCTTATTTTTTTAGGTATGTTCTTTTTAATGAATATACATTTTTGGGATTTTTGGATTTTAGTAAACTAGGACTGAGTATTTCATGTTAAAGCAAAACGATGTTAATTTAGATTTATTTTTAGCAATTTATTAATTTCATTAGACCCGCAAACTCGTTATCCGCCACTATTCGATAAAGTTTGTATCTCAGTTTATTTACCACTCCTCTTGGACTTTAAACAACACAATTTTAGCTGCTGAAAAGTACAGGTTTTGATGAAATTTTAATTTTTCAGGCCTACTAGGAATTTCATTTTCTTCGAGTAACTTATTTGAATTTCATCTCGGCCGAGACAAATTCTTGTATTTTCGCTTTGAATAGAGAAAGCCTAATACATAACCTTTCCAATAGTATCCCACTTTTGTAAATAGAGCAAGAAATATTGAATTTATAACGGAACTGGAACCAACTTGATTTTTTATCGATATTTTCCATGCACATAATTCACAAAAAAAAAAAATATTTTTGAGTCCATTTTTGTCAGTTTATAATCCATTGTTATAGGGAAATTCTAAATATAAATTTTGGGCATTTTGACCTTTGTAGTTAGATAAATATTTCAGTTTTTGCATTTTTAAAAATTGCAGTTATATAATAGGGTGGCGTGACAGTAACTCTAAATGACCCATTTTTTGTAAAAAGCTTCGCCTATCTTATAACGTACCTTGTGCAAAATTTTATTAATCTATCTTCAATATTTTTCGAATTACAGAATTAAAAGCAGCTAGATGGGTCAAATATTACACTGTGTGCCGTGCTGACTAGCTTACTCAATTTCAGCATAATGCTTGCTTTAACCCAATTACAAAAATTAAGCTCTTAAGATGTCCAGCTGTCATGTCTGCAAGCTTAGAATTTTCACAGCATGCATTTACTCGTGCCGCATATGTTACAATATCTTCTTTTGTCAATTGCAAACATTTGTATCTGAGGCTGAAAATCGACTCCTTCGATGCGAACATTTCCTTCAGGGTTTTCACTGTTTCAGTGAATGATAGGTCTCTTGGGTTTTTGGTAACACGTACGTTGCGTACTTCCCGTATGCTACAGGGTTGAGCTTCCTCATTAATAATCGAACTCGTGCTGGATCATCCAAGTCTTTGCAATCAACGATGAATACATCTTCGTGCCGTGCATACCACACATCGAACGTTAGGTTATTTTGCGGGTCGTAACAGAAATCAACAATACGACTAGCCAAATTTTCCATTAGGCTTCTTCGTGCTTTTGAGGTGTCTTCAGTGAGCATAGCAAGCAATTTGCTTTGAATTTCCAAAAGCTCTTGGATCTTTACGTCCGCCATTGCAATGACTTGCCAATATACACTCGGCTTTTTAACAAAATGGCTGCGTCGAATGATCTCGTCGCAAAACTCGAAATTTTCTTCTTGGTGTAGAATGCCTTGCCAAAAGCCAAAGGTAGTTATTATTTTATTTGCAAGTATCCTTGCAACCTGCACACTCCGAATATTCGTCGCCAATTTCTGACAGAATTAAAGAATGTTCAATTTGTTAAGAAAGTCCAGTTTATTTAATTCTATATAAATAGTAGCGTGCTTTCTAGTAAAGTACGTAAAAATGAAGGTGAAGTAAATAAAGGAAAGTCAAATAAGTATATGGTGATCCGATGTCAGTGCTGCCACACTAGCGGAAGTTGAGTGAGAACATGGTTGCATTCAATAGGTCTGCAATATCCGCAACAGCTTCCATCAAGGTTTCGTTTGGCAGATGCTCCCCTAAGTGTAGGTGGATGGCCAATAGCTCCGCATTTGTATGTTCCTTTTGGCGTCCAAGTTTTTAAATACACATTGGAGGTAGTTGTTCTAAGCTTTCCTGACAATTTTCTGACTCGCTGCTGTTTTTGATTTCGGTTTCATTTGTGCGTATTTTAATATAATATTCATAGCAATATATTGTTTATTAAACCAAATATTGGCGTTTGTGTTGTTGATCCTCAGTGAACGTCGTTGGTATACAGTCAATAGTAAGTTGGTTTTGGAATAATAAACCTGACCGGTATTAATATTTTTTTTTTGGTTATTGTTGTTTCCGTCAGGGTTGGTGTATGATGTATTTTGGAACGAATTTCCGTCATCCCTTTACAAATTTGGTTTGCAGACAAACCGGTATCGGCGTTCACTGAAGATCAACAACACAATATTTGGTTTAATAAGCCATGTGTTGCTATGAATATTATACCAAAATACGCACAAATGCAACCGAAATCAAAAACAGCAGCGAGAACCGATACAGCTACATAGGACAAACAGGACGAAATATATAGACAAGGTATTGAGAACACATAAGGGATTATAATAAGAAAATACGAAAACCAGAGGCTACAACAGAATCGAACTTCGCAAATCACATTATCAAAAATAAATGCGCACCAATAGGACAAACAGCAGAGCTTCTCCATGTACAACATAAAGGACATAGATTGAATATATTAGAAAATATAGAAATATATAAACAGACGACCTTCAAAGGACGAATAATAAATGAGCAAATAAATACTGTATCGGACGTATTGTTTGAACCTCTAAAACTACTCTTAAGGATAGACATAATAGGGAATACACTTACTACAAAAACAAAGAAGGTGAAAATCAGCAAAAACAAGCCATAACAATTCATCTACCTATTGAGCATCGCAAATACTGCAAAACTAGGAAGACGTACCTAACAAAAGGAATATAGGTAGTTAATAAGGAGTATAAATACGGGTAACCAACAAAAATTATCCAGAACGAAAAATGACACTGAAGATGGCACAGCGCCGAAACCGGTTTGTCTCCAAACCAAATTTGACAACGGATGACGGAAATTCGTTCCAAAATACATCATACACCAACCCTGTCGGAAACAACAATAACCAAAAAGGAAATAAAAAAACGTTCCCCATGAAACACATCGTCCACAGATGTAAACCGTAGAAAAAATCCGATAGTTTTTTAGTTTATCGTGTTCAGACACAAACAGGCGCTTTAGAGCACATTGTTTTTATTATTATATATAGAAAAAAAAATTGTCAAAACATCAGGACAGGCACATTTTTTACCCTCATTATATATAAACGGTTAAGAATTCGGCGAAGTAAAACATTTTAATTTCACATCGCCTTGAAAAAAAAACAATTCAAATGTTTCTTGAATATTTCGATTTTAGTCGATCATTTTTTTCTCTCTGTAATAATATTTCTGTTTACCTTCCACAGGCTAAACGAGTTGAAGGCATGTATTTACTGTGAGGCCGAGTAAGCTCTTCGTCAAATCATCAGTATCATTGTTGTTCAGTCTCATAAAAACTATATACGGGTCATCACAAATGACAAAATCTTCCGAATTTATTATTCCTGAACAGCAAACCAAACTTGGTAAGTGGCAAAGCTAAACCAACTGGCAGACGGTAGCTGTTATGACGGAAAGTATGACATTTTTTGCAAGTGTATGTGCGACTGAGTCATTCTCTTCATGTTCTACTATTGACGCAGCAAACTTTGGAATATTTGTCAATAGAATCACAGGATTTAGAATATCTAGCATCGTCAGTAAACAGCACAAATGTAAACAAGGCGATATTGAAATAAGCTATGCTCGTTATAATAAAAACAAAAGAGATTTTTATAAAAATTGCAATTGTTGCTGTGATAACTCAAGGCAGCTTTGGGGTGACACAGCCCAGCCGGTAACTCCACCTGAATTACCTAAAATTGCCGATAGTGATACGTTGCATGAGAAATGCAAGCGGCCAGTTCAACGGCATATTGCGGCCAACAGTTCAAATGTAATACACAATTCTTGTTATTGTCCAACAAATGCAATAAAAGCTAATGTTTTTGGCAGCAATGTTGACCGGACAAAGCAAGCGGACAGCCGTGTTACTGAAACGAAAACATTGCTGCAAACTGATCAAGTTTTGAAATCCTTGACTGCCCCAGCTATAGCTCACAGTAAAACAAAAACATATAGCGGTTTTGACGATAATAGCAGCATAAATAGATTGCACGAGCTAGAGATTTCAAAACGTAGTCATAGAATGATAACACACAGTCACATTTCTGCCGATGAAATGTTTTCAAATGATGATTTTCATCGAATTTGTTCTTTTGCACCTGCTTCAGATAAAGCAATACGCCGAAAAGAAATCAACGCCATAAACCGGGTAGATTTAAGAAAAAATGTCGTGAGCTGTCGTTTTAACAATTTTAGGGGGAGTGGAAGGCTTCACGCTCAAATGTATGGATATTGGATACATTATATCCTCTTAATATTGTTACTGTCACTGTCGCAAGTTCGCTGGACGTACGCTTTACTAGTGGTTGAACCCAAATATGCTGGTCTTGCTGATGATGACTTCATTTCTGATAACGGCAACAACTACCCGTATATTAATGCCAGCATAAGATCGGGCGGAAGCAGTAACCGGATTGGTACAAAATCACCACCAGGTATGATCGGGGTTACTGGAGAAAATTCTGCAACTATTGGCAGTTCATCTTCTGGTGTCACTGGTTACATGGATAAGATGAACAATTTAGAGCGAAATGTTGCGGCTGTTCTTATAAAAGTTGCCTACGGTACAACGTCGACGACTAAACGTAGTATTCCGGATAATAGATACGTAGCCAGTCTGACAACAATCGCCACCCCACTGTTGACGACCCTGCGGTAGGTTGCTTTTTTTTGTTGTCCACTGTACACATAACAGTGTCGCACAAAACATTTGCAACAAAAATAAAATTGTGTAGGAGTTAAGCAGCAGCTAAGCTTTAAGGTAAATTTCTTTAATATCAATAAGAAAAAGCAGATTTAGTGTATAAAACAATGGTGACAGAAAAATACTACATTGCTTTAAAGAAGACGAGACATAAGAAGTCGAGGCAACTGCTTTGCATTGACACGGCATCGACGTAGTTAAATTGTGAATGATT